AATGAGAGACAGAGAGCATGAGAGGGAGGAGGGTCAGAGGGAGAAGCAGACTCCCTGCCGAGCAGGGAGCCCAAAGTAGGACTCGATCCAGGGACTCCAGGATCATGACCTGAGCCGAAGGCAGTCGCTTAACCAACTGAGCCACCCAGGTGCCCCACATGGGTCTTTAAAAGCAGAGAACCATTCCTGGCTCAGGGTCCTCCCGCGGTGTGGCTATGCAAAAATGGGCAGACACCTGCAACATTGTTGTCTTGAAGATGAGGGAAGGGGCCACAAGCCAAGGAGCGTGAGTTGCCTCTAGAAGCTGGAAAAGGCAAGGACCACATTTGCCCTGAGAGCCAAAGGAAACACAGCGGTGCTGACATCCTGATTTTAACCCAGTGAGACCTGTGTCAGACTGCTGACCTACAGAATTGTAAGATAATATTTTTTTTCATTTAAACCACTAAATTCGTGATATTTTAAAAAAACCGTATAAAATTAATATGGTATTTGTTTAGAGCAATTCCAATCAAAATCTTAAACCCTTTTTTTTTTCAGAAATTGAAAAGTTCATTCTAAATTTTTTTTTTTATTTGACAGAGAGAGACACAGCGAGAGAGGGAACACAAGCAGGGGGAGTGGGGGAGGGAGAAGCAGGCTTCCCGCAGAGCAGGGAGCCCGACGCGGGGCTCGATCCCAGGACCCTGGGATCATGACCCGAGCCGAAGGCAGACGCTCAACCGACTGAGCCACCCTGGTGCCTCCATTCTAAAATTTATATGGAGACACAAAATACCTAAATAGACAAAATCATCTTAAAAAAAAATAAGAAAATCACAGGCTTTTTTCAAGACTTACTATAAGTCTTTCACTTATAAGATTTCAATACTGGCTATAAGCTACACTAATCAAAGTAGTTAGGAAATGCTGTAAGGATAGACAAATAGATCAGTGAAACACACAGGAACATATATAGTCGATGAATTTTCTACAAAGGTACCAAAACAATTCAGTAAGAGAAAAAAGGTCTTTTTAAGAAATATTGCTGAAAAATGAATGGGTGATGGACCAACATAAATTTGAGCTTTCCTCTGTCATTTGCAAAAACTCACTTGAGATGGGCCACAAATATAAAAGTTAAAATTATAAAGCCTTTAGGAGAAAATATAGTATGATAATGTCATGGCCTTTGAGTGGGCAAAGAGTTATTTTGAACATAAAGAGTGCTGAGCACTTGAGAAAAAATACAGATGTTGCACTTTCACAAAAGCAAAACAAAGTTAAAATACTCTTCTGGTCTTAAAAAGACATTTTCAAGAATATGAACAGGCAAGTCATAGAACGGGAGGAAATATTTGTAATACACATACCTGACAAATGTATCTAGAACATATAAGAGCATAGATCACTAAAATAGAGATAAACACTCCAGTAATAAATGGGCAAAGAAGTCTTGAACAGACACTTCACCAAAGAAAGTCTAGGAGGGGCCACTAAACACATGGGAAGGTGTTCAGTATCCTTTGTCATCATGGAAATAAGTTAAAGTAGAGTGAAATATTACTTCATTCCCAGTGTGATAGCTAAATTTTTAAAAAATAACAATATCAAATGTTGGAGGGAATGTGAATCTAGTGATCTGTAAATGCACAATAACAAAATCATTAAATAGAATGTGGAGCAACAGGAACTCTTGTTGGGTATGGGGGTGGACATTTGAGCTCTTTGGAAAACAGTTGGAGCTATCTAAGCCACTTTGATGATGTCCAAACCTTTATCCCAGCAATTTCAGTCCTGTGTGCATCTGTCCTGAAGAGAGACCCTTGCTCACGTGCACCAAGAAAGATAAATGAGAATATTTGTAGCAACGTTATTTGTAAAAATAAATGACTGCAAATGGCTTGAATGTCCAGTGAGGAAGGCAGGTTAATTGTGATATATTTGTACGGTGCAGTTATGTGCGGCCGAGAGAATGAATAAATCTTGTTTCGATCCATCACCTTTGAGGATTCTCAAGAATGCAGTCATGAAAGCAAGGCATCAGTGAATATACACACTAGGATTTCATTTCTCTAAATGTCACAAACGGATAAAGCTGAGCAATATGTTGTTTGGGGGGTACTTCTGTACATAAGGGTTAAACATATAAAGAAATCATAGCCCAAAATAGCCCAAATTTCATGAGAGTGGTCAACTCTGGGAAATAGGGAGAGGGATAATTTTGGGAAGAAACACAGAAAGATATCATGAATGACCTATTTTAAAAAGTTGGGGGGAGCCTGGGTCGCTCAGTCGGTTGAGTGTCTGACTTTTGGTTTCTGCTCAGGTCATGATCTCAGGGTCGTGAGATTGAGCCCCACGTTGGGCTCTGCACTCAGTGGGGAGTCTGCTTCAGATTCCCTCTCTCCCTTTCCTTCTTCTCTTTCCCTCCGTGCTCTCCCTCTCTAAAATAAATAACTCTTTTAAAAAAAGTTGGATAGGGTGCCTGGGTGGCTCAGTTGGTTAAGCGACTGCCTTTGGCTCAGGTCATGATCCTGGAGTCCCAGGATCGAGTCCCACATCAGGCTACCTGCTCGGCAGGGAGTCTGCTCCCTCTGATCCTCCCCCCCTCATGCTCTCTCTCTCTCTCAAATAAATAAATAAAATAGTAAAAAAAAAAGTTGGATACACTGAAAATTATTTCATTACTTCTCTTTCAATGACTTATGCATATATATATATATATATATACACTCTTTGAATTTATATTTTATAATAAGATTTAAAGAATATATTAATCTCTCATCAAGTTGCTTTCTTTTTTTATAGCTTGAGTTACATTTAAGTTTTCCTAACTCCCCTGTGACTTTAGTTCATATTGTCTGTGGGGCTGCAGTGATTGGACAGGACCAGTGAGACGTTAATGAGTCGCTCAATTAAAACAAAACACATATAACGTGTAATTCCTCCCACAAGATGCCCTAAAATAAACCTGAAAGGCGTTAAGTGAGCCTTTTCAAATCCCCAGCAATTTATTCCTCATTTGATAAGTAATTTTTGGTTTGAATGTCTGTTATCTTTTCAAAAGGAACTGGGAAAACTGGAAGCGGAGAGAGTAAGAAACGTTTAGGGTGGGATATGCTCATGCCTTCTCCCTCCAGCAGGCTGGAAGCGCCCTGGAGACCACCCCTGTGTACCACTCCCTGATGAATCTTATTTCAGTGAACTTTACTGTTTCAGACAAACCTGGTGAAGCTTCTTCTGATGCATCAGGCAAATCCAAACCTTCTGAACTGCAATGAAGAGAAGCCCTCAGGTAGGTTGTGAATATCCTGGGACCGTGGAGCGGTTACTGACTCCTTCCTGTCCTACCGGAACTTGTTCATCCATCATTAACATGGCTGCCGAGCGAGTCAGCCTCCCCTGAGAAGCTCTGCGCAGATGCTCCGTTCGGGCACTCTTCCCAAACTCCCATGCCCACCTCCTGCACAAGACGGCATTACAGGGTGGTTCTGATCACTGGGGGCCCTTGTACTTCCCTGAAATTTGCTTTTGAGGTTTTCAACTTCCTGCACAGTGATTCCTTCAATGTCACTTACTTTCAAATATATTTTTGCTGTTATTTAATTGGTTTATTACCATTTCAAATGCATACTTGTTCATCAGGGTGATTTTAAATAATAATCTTTTTTTTTCCCCCAGCACAGATAGGTATACTGCAAGGAATCGAGACTTGACATCCTCAAGCTAATTTAAAGTTTTCAAAATCTTAATTTAATGTTACAATTTTTGATAAGTATCTTTTGAACATTTCTAGAGTTCTTTTTACCACTGTTCTTTAATAGTATTCATCTGCTAATTTAAGAACATGGATGTTGCATTCGTTTTCTAGCTTTTATAATTTGACAACAAATTTACTCATAAGTTTTTTGTTTATTAAAAATAAAAATTCTAAGTAACAGAGAAAAGTGTAGCATAGGTAAAAAAAAATGATATGAAAATCTTGAAGGTAATAATTGAGCTAAATAACTTAATTCTACTTATTCTTGTTACCATACCTCTAATAACCTAAAAGCACTTTAGGCCTGAGATTTCTCATTGGATGTACTTATAGGAATATGATTACATGATAAACCTCCAGCTTAAGACAGGATGAGAGATTTGCTCTATTATTTTATTGGAGTTAAATATTGTTTAATGTTTATTCATCTTACCTGCTAAAATAAACTGAAGATTTAACAAATGAAGCTCTAAGATAGTGTTATAGTTTCAAACTTTGGAATCAGGCTAATGTTAATGATAGTGTCGTAACCTTAGTATTAATGACAAAAGCGTGTCTAATGACAAATATTAAAAGAGGAAATAGAAATTTGTGGGCTTTTTCTATTTGTTTAATGTATTTATTGTGAAATATGTCACATCCTCTGTTTACTGTAGTTCTAACAGATCACATTTGTCAAGTTCATATCCCTGGCTTCTTTCCCAGAGAAGAGAATATACAATTGACCCTTGACCACATGGACTCCCATGTGTCACACTTACACCTTTTAGGTCTAGTGTGTTAGACCTAACCTAAATGTGCCAAAATGGACACCCAAGGCAACCCACAGTCCTAGAGCCCAGGACGTGACTAAATGTCTGGTCTAGCCTCAGCCCTGTCCACCTCAGGATAGGATGGCTGTCTTAGACAATTTGCCTGTGTTGGCCATGCCTAGTCTACCATCAGTGTAACCCATTTTCCATGCCTTGTTGGTCAGGAGAGACACAGTGATGGGCTGATAGAGGACTCTCAATAATCACTTGTTGATTGAAGGAAAATACTTCTTTCACACACAAGGGAACAAAGAGCTATAATGCAGTGAGAGTTTCAAGTAAATGCAGGAGGTACCAACATCTAATCCAGCAGCAAGAAAAATGAACCACATAACATAATAGCACAGAGAACAGGAAAATAGACACCCATATTATGACCAAGCAAATGAAAATTGTCATCAGTATTCTATTCTTGCTATTTTGTGTTCCTTGAATTTGGAGTAGATACAGAAAAAATTATCTGGGGGCCAAAAGCAGTTCGGGGTGTAGTTGTTAGGTGGGACAGAAATAATCACCCAAGGTGAGGAAGCCAAGCTGCCTCCTCCTATTTACTGGATATGATTTAACCTAGAGCAAATGGTGATCAAATCTTGGCATAAACATCTTCTTGTGGTGGCTGAATTAACTCATCCAGCCCATCAAGCCTCATAACTCGAATTTGTAGACACAGGTGGTCATGTACTTTAGTCAGGAGGATTGAAAAGGAGCAGTTTTGTCCATTAGGTTCCTAAATGTTATTATTGTGAATTTTTCTTCAGGATCTTTTGACTTCCAGTTTCAATTGTTAGTAAGTGTTAATTTGATTAATGCACATCTGTCTATATTGCTGCCCAAGTATATTCAGATGTTACTGTTAACACGTATTGTATAAGGGAATATAATTGTATTTCAGATTGGAAAAACAGATCACAGAGGCTAGACTCACTGTTTTCATAATGCAACTATTTATTTGTACATCTACAAATGGATGCTTGTAGAATACCTACTACAAGTTTTATAGTAACCCAGTCTTTGGGAATGTGTAACTATTTTCATCAATTTGATTCTTATTCATCAAGATGAAGGAAGAGTTGCACTGAGAATAAAATGACATCAAGTTCTTTCGAGCTTAGCTTCTCCACGATTTTACATTTTATACATCACCACTCGGGGAATATTATTTTTATATTTTTTCATTTCATTTGTAATTAAATATGCCACAGATACAAAACACAGTCGTCTTTTAAAATGGCAGTACTGCAGTTTTATTCCCACCTTAAACTTGTAGTGTTTTTCATTTTGCTCTAGGTGTTGATGAGTTTTCATGTTTTAAGCACACCAGAATCAATGAAAGGGAACAGTTGTCTGTGATCTCAGCATCCGCTTTTTCTGATGTTTGTATTGTTTCTTGTAGATATCGCTGCATCTGAGTTTATTGAGGAAATGCTGTTGAAAGCCGAAGTTGCCTGGGAAGAAAGGGTAAAAGAGCATTTATCTCTTCCTGCATTGGCCTCCGAGGAGCCCTATGAAGAGATCCTCCATGACCTCCCACCTCTCTCCAGCAAGCTGTAAGTGCCTTCACCGTAGAGTGCTAGCATCGTAGGTCTTGCCCATGGAAGAGTTGATTATTTTCTCTGCCATCCCTGCCGACCATTTTATAGTCAGTATTAAGATGGACTCATAACTAAATTGAAGCTGAATGTTAACATCTTTACCAAAAAATACTTCTTGACAATGATGAGTTTAGCCTAATTTTCTGAAAAATCCTCTGATTCTTTTAAACATTATTATTTTATTTAGTTATTAGATCAAGTTTGTCACCATGAGACCAAAGATGATATTTTAAATGGACTCCACGGTTTTAGCTAAACTGATTTGTAGGATTCCCAGTGACTATGGTAGTGGCTAAATTCCTCAGGTAGGAAATACAGATATTCACTTTTTTCTCTCTAAAGTACAAAACTTAATGATTTCTGGTTGTCTAAAATATCTCCTAAATACCGATACATACTACAACAAAGATGAACCTCAAAAACGTTATGCCGGGCGAGTGAAACCAGGCACCAGAGGCCACATATCGTATGATCCCATTTGCATGAGGTGTGGAGAATGGGCAAATCCATAGAAACAGAAAGGATATTAGTGGTTGCCAGGAGTGGGGACAGGGGTCAATGGGGAATGACTCTTACTGGATACGGGGTTTCTTTTGGGGATAATGGAAATGTTCTAGAAGTAAATGTGATGCTTACACAAATTTGTGAATATGCTAAAAAAAAAAAACCACTGGATTGTAAACTTTAAAAGTGTGAATTTTGTGCTATGTGGATCCTATCTCAACAAAAGAAGGAGATACACAAAAAATATTTCAGGTTGAAAACAACATTTTTAACATGCCGTTCTTTTTTTTAAGATTTATTTATTTATTTTAGAGAGAGGGAGTGGGAGCAGAGGGGAGAGGGAGAGGGAGAGACACTCAAGCAGATTCCATGACAAACTGGGAGCCTGAGGCAGGGCTCGATCTCAGGACCCTGAGATCATGACCTCAGCCGAAACCAAGAGTGGGACGTTCAACCGACTGAGCCAGCCAGGTGCCCCTAACACATTGTTCTTTTGATAGAGAACATATATGAAATGAATCAGAGCTTTGGCAGAATTAACAGAAAACATACACGTGTTTCTTTCACTAGATCTCTTGTGTATCATTTACAAAGCAGCATTTCTTCACACACCAGTTGCTGGAGTCAGTGGTTTAGCCCTGGTGTTCAGGAAGGTTTGGTCTTCTGTCTCTCTCCTCACCTCAGCACTGCTGAGTTTTCCCCAAACCATTTCTATCTTTTCCCTCCATTAAAATAAGCAAATGCTATTGTTCTGTGAAAATCCAAGTTGCCCTGGTTTAAACCAAGCGCCTTCTTGAATGGTTTGATAACCTGAATTTTTAAATGTGAAGCCTGCCCTTCAGCTCTTTGTAGAAGTTCCTCAGCTTTAGGAAGGTGAAGAAGGAATTAGAACAAAATAAAACTCCTGGAAGAAGGGGAAAGAGCAAGTAGGCCTTGCCATGTTGGCCAGTTTTCCTTGGCTCCAGGTAGGAGCAAGCATTCCCATGAAGCTCGCTGCTTCTTTCATCTCATTACTTTGCCCAAGGATGGATGGTGTGTATTCATCGGTATGAGAAGCATACGATTAGAAAGAACTTATTCAGCCTTCTCTTCTTCTCCATGTAATCTGTGTTTATCTTCAGAAAGTCTCTTTTTCCAGCTTTTATCAGCAGCCCTCTTTCTGAGGACTTAACCCGCATTACCTCATCTGAATTATTATCACCTATCTTTCAATTTTCAATCCAACTTCCTATTACTTTGCGTTCTACAGTTAATGCACTCCTTTTACATTTTCCTAGGATATATTTTGCTAAATTTTTGAGAAATAGTTGAGTGGTTTCTGATACCTCAGCATACAAGTCAAATTCCCTTTCCAGTATCAACTCCTGTTGATTGTCTTGAGAGGCTTTGTGTGCGGAATCATGAGTTAGTGAAGATAAGAATGTCACTCCCTCTCTACTCCACTGTTAACAGCCACCCTGTCTTTGGTTAAACATTTAATCACGAGGAAATTCCTGTATTATTGAATTATTTCGTATTCCATGTTTCTAAGATATCTTCTATTAAGTGAACAATTTTAAGGGGTCTATTTGTTGCCTCACTTTCAAGTTCGTGAGCAGGTTAGACTTAACTCCAGAGCCCTCCCAGCAACAGTCTTTCCTGTCTGTAAAGCTTTCAGGCTTCCTCTGTCTGCTTTAAATTTGCAACAGCTATTGTCGTACTTGACTGCCATTCCCCCTTCTGTTCTTTCTTGACTTCTGGCCTCCTCCCCGTGCCGTCTCTCGTGTCCTGACTTGGATCTCAGTGTCGCGCATGCCGTGACTGCCATGAACGAGACAGCTGTGGTGGCATGCACCCTGTGGTGTTGGAACGTGGAAATGCCTGCCCAGGGTCTGTCATCCCTGGAATGTTTTATGTGTGCCAACGTTTGCTATAAGTACTCTATTTCACAGGGTCCTGGAATGGGAATCCACAGCGATTCCGCCTAGTACCTGGCGGGGTGGAGTCGTTCGCTGAACAGTTGTGGGTGTTCAGCGATTCACGACAACAGCTGACGGTTCCCGTGCGGCGACCAGACTTTAGGATTTGTGCAGAGTGTTTGTGTGGGCCATTGCCTTTAATCCGCAGAACAACATAAGTATGCTCTTTCTTTCATTTTTTGTTGTTGTTAATTTTTTAATTTGAATATTGTTGATGCACAATGTTACATTAGTTCCAGGTGTACAACATAGTGATTGAACATCACTATATGCCGAGCTCACCACAAGTGTAGTCACTGTGCATCACCAGATAACGCCATTACAGTATCATCCACTGTATTCCCTTTGCCGTATCATATCCCCATGACGTTTCTCTTTATTTATAATTTTTTTCAGGTTCGATATATTGACACACGCAACACAAATATTTCTTTTTAAAATTTTTTATTTAAATCCCGTTTTGTTAACATACAGTGTATTATTAGTTTCAGCGGTAACACAAACACTTTCTGTTCTATCCCCATGTTATCCATCCCTGTCTGAGACTCAGAACTCAAGTAACTGGACTCATGTCACGCACATGTACCCACTCTCCCATTGTTTCAGCAAGGAGGTCATTTTTATTTGCAATTCGAAAACTTCTAATTTGGCCTGAAAGAGGAAATTGCGGATCTGAGTTTCCCTGTTATGGTCAGTCGACTTTAGGCGTGGAGTGTTGTCAAGGTAGCATAAGTGTTTCTTCGTATGACAACTTACGGAGATAGTCTGTAATTAGGAAGACATTTCCCATCTGCAGAAATGAGAAGCATGAAGGCTCCTCACTGATCTGCTTTTAAGCTGAAGCTCAAGTCAAATGGAACAACATAGGGCCATTATTTCCCATCTGGGGCCATGTTATTTATCAAACCCTTGGTCTGGCTTGCTCTGAGTGTCTACACGCACTCCCTGAGGCGACCTGTGAGGCCATGTGCTGTGGTCCTTATGGACGGAGACCCAGAGCCACACATCCTGGTTCAGATGCTAGCTTGCACCTGCTGGCTCTGTGACTTCAGCAATTTAGTCAGAGTCTTTTTTTTTTTTTTTAAAGATTTTATTTATTTATTTGAGAGAGAATGAGAGAGAGAGAGCATGAGAGGGGGGAGGGTCAGTGGGAGAAGCAGACTCCCTGCTGAGCAAGGAGCCCGATGCGGGACTCGATCCCGGGACTCCAGGATCATGACGTGAGCTGAAGGCAGTCGCTTAACCAACTGAGCCACCCAGGTGCCCTAGTCAGAGTCTTTGCTACATGTTGCCTCCAGTGTAAAATGAGGGTGCTGTATAGTAAAGAATTTGTCCGGGCCTTTCTCCTTGTTTCCTGGGAGGGAAGATGCTCAGCCCTTGGAATTCCCAAGCCATAGGACTGCCTCTGTTGTCCAGGATTCCTGGGATCACACTTGAGTTTATGCTCACAAGGTGCCTCATGGTGGGGGCTGGTCATACCAGAAAACCCAGTGCTGGGATGGAATGACTGATCAGTGAGCCAGCCTGGCCTCCGGGAGGCCATCATGTCTACGGAACCAAACCTCAAGGAAGACTCTGCAAGCCCAGTGGAGCTTCCTGGTTGGTGAACACCTCTGTGTGCTTGGGGGCTGATGTGCCTAGATTCCCACACCTCACCTTGCGTGTCTGTCTGCATGGCTGATCCTGATTTGTACCTTCCCTCAGAAAGCTGTAATAGTAAGTATAGTGCATTCCTGAGCTCTGCGAGTTGTTCTAGTGAATTATTAAACCTGAGAGAGTTGTGGGAGCCCCTGAGCTGGTAGCTCGTGGGTCAGAAATGTGGGTGAGCATGGAGACTCCCAAAGTTGTGGCTGTGTCTGAAGGGGGGGCAGCCTTGCCCTTAATTTGTGGGGTCCATGCTATAGGTAGTCAGTGTCAGAATTGAGCTGCAGTCCACGGGTGGTGACGATAGTGGTCAGAAATATCTCATGAGGTGGTTCTTGATGACTCCGTGACTTAATATTTTTGAAACACAGCAATATCTGGCTCATCGTGATACCACGTAAGTGCTTGAGAAATGACAGAAAGAAAAGCAGATGTTCTTCATTCATCTGTGATTGTCAGCATCATCATCTAAAGAATAAAGGCCTTCTAGCTCTAAACTAAGACAATAGAATTAAGCTTTCAGTTTGGTGCTTTCAAACTGAATATGACCATATAGAGAAAAACTTATTTTCTAAGGAGCTAGACGGAAAAATCCAATCTCAGAGAAGACCAGCTTCGGTGTGGGTGCGTCCTTTCAGTAGGTTGCTTGGGGCTGGCTCTCCGGGGCTTCCGAGTCAGATAGCACCTGGGGTGGAGAGACGATGTGACTGGGAAAAGTCTGGAAAGAGTGGAAAGAGGCAGACCTGAGCGGGTCTGAGGACACAAGGACAAGGCGCTGGGGGTAGGTGGGTCCCAAGGTGCATAGGCCAAGCGGCCACTGATGAGGAGAAATACCCTATGGGGATTTGT